GAGGTAGGGGAGAGGGATGAGAGGGGGGTAAGGGAGAAGGGAGGGAAGGGAGAGGGCGGAAGGGGGAAAGGCATAGTGGTAAAAAGAGAAGGGTGAGACAAGTGGAGGAAGGGAGGGGGTAGAGGGCCGGGGCGGGGTAGGGCACCGGAAGTTGATAAGGTCTGGCAGTGAAACAAACAGGTGAAATGAAGCAGCCTCCCTCCCTCCCTCCCTACCTCCTATCTCTCCTCCCTCCTCCCTTCCTTCCTACCTTCCATCCCTCCCTTCTCCCTTCCTTATAAATGGTGACGACCGTGATTGCTTTATAAGATCGTGATTCTCAGAACGCCGCCGTGGTAATGACACAAACCCCGGGGGAATCCACCTTCTTTCTCTCTCTCTCTCTCTCTCTCTCTCTCTCTCTCTCTCTCTCTCTCTCTCTCTCTCTCTCTCTCTCTCTCTCTCTCTCTCTCTCTCTCTCTCTCTCTCTCTCTCTCTCCGCGTCACCTTGAAACGTTTGGAGAGCAGAGTGTGGGAACGTTTGTTGGTGTCGACGACGGGGTGCCCGGGGTCGGCTCCTCGGGGTAGGGGTGGGTGGGGGTGGGGTTGTATGGCTTGGATTGGTTTGTCTTATGTAGGGTACGTCTTGTTGGGTGTTGGTTTATTTTTGGTTAGGGTGCGTTCGTTGGTGTTTTACTCTTTGGTGATATTATTTCCATATCGTTATCGTCGTCATAATCGTTCGTCATCATCATCATCCATCATCATCATCATCATCATCATCATCATCATCATCATCATCATCATCATCATCATTATTGTTATTATCATTAGATAATTATTAGTTTATGTCCTTATTAAAACTTTAATTTCCAAGTGATAATCTAGTAACGTCGTTAATGGTTCGCAAAGCAACCAAGAAAGTAAACAAGGAGGGCTTGAGCTGCAAAAGCCACAGGGTGATGAATGATAATAAAGAGCCAATCTAAAAGAATAGATAACAATCAGAGGAGAAGCAAGGCGATGCGAGTGCCGTAAGAGTGAATGAGGGAAGAAACGGCATTGCAAGATAAGATTGGTAATGCGACGAGGGCAATGAAAAGGCATTATGCTGAGGAAGCGACAGAATTACAATTGGGGGAAGTGCTGGTGACTTTGCGATCTTCTGCGCGTTGTTGGCAGATTTATCGTGTGCATGCGTGCGTGTGCGTGTTTTGTGTGTCTGTTTGTGTGTATATTTAATGTACGCATGTGTTTTTTTCTTTGTCGCATGTGTACCTTTGCGTGAGCAGGTATGTTCCCAGTGGCCACGCACACTCTGTGGGAGTAAGATGTTGACATGCGGGGGCCGAGTCGCCCTACGCACACACGCACGCACTCTCGCGCACACACCCGCACACAGGGCCCCGCACAGAGCTCCGTCAGTACCCGCCTTGCCGCGGCCTACACAACCTGGGCTCCGGTGCCTCGCGTGCCAGCCTACCCTGCCGCGTTGGCAAGGGCCCCTCGCTGTTGCAATCTTCCCCCCGCAACTTCTCCCCTGCAACATGTCTTCCGTCAACCCAACCCTCGCCCTCCTCGACGCCCAGGAGTGACCTTTGTTTACCCGGAGTATTTCTCGGTGTTTACAGGAGCAGGAGACTTACCTGTTGCCTCATTCGGCCTCGATTGTGTCATGCGCGCGAACCTTGGGTCTTATTTATAATGCGTCTGATGGTGATGGTGAAGTGAAAAGGAAGGGTATGGTGAGGCTGTGGTACTCTTGGGATCCGGGTACCTGCAACAGCGTTTCGTCCGTGGTACCTCCGTCTTCACTCGCTTTTCGACTCTTCGATGCTCGTCAAAGGTGAGAGTAACGCCATTTAATAGAGATAATTTCAGGCGAGTAAATGAGGACTTTGGCGTGAGTTGCGCTTGTGTGTGATCGCGGGGGCTTGGAGTGAATGGCAAGGGTGAGTAACCGTCGAGATCGCGCGTGGGGGCGAGTCGTAGCGAGGTCCAGAGTGAGTCAGGAGTCGTGAGTACCTCGGATGAGTAAGGGAGGAAGACTCGGCCGGATCAAGAGGCAGTGGCTGCGGCCAACCCAGGGGGCCAGGAACAAGTAGCCCCGGGGAGGAAGGAAGGGAGGGAGGGAGGGAACTGCAGTGAGTCACACGTGGGTGTGAACGCGCCCATACGTCGCCGTGACCCTTGAACCCTCCCACGGGCGGCGAGGCGGCGTCGAGGTGGCGGAGTCACGGGCTGGCATTCGACGGGGGCGGCTTTGGCTGGGTGGGGGAAGGGGAGTGGGGGGAATGCTGGTATGGGGGAGGGGGGGATCGGAGGTGATGACACGCATGGCCGCCGGAGCCTGCCATGCCCCGGACGGAGGCGGTTCCTCTCGCACACTCACGGCGGTTCCTGTGGGGGTTCCTTCAGTTCGGTTCCTACGCCGTCTGGTCCCTGTAGGTGCTGACTCGCCCCCGGAGGACGTTCGAGTGAGTGCTTCGGTTATTTTGCGAGCTGCCATTGGTATAGACCCCTTGGCATATCGGGGAACCTGGTTCTCCGTGACGTAAGTGGCTGGGCTGTCGTGAACGCCGATGAGGTGAGGCGTCAGAACATTCTGAAGTTAGTGGGGGTCCTCCTGGCTCCTCCCCGGCGATTACTCAACGTGAGGAACATCTTGAGTGAAAATGGTCAACTGGTTACGAGTGCGGAGAGGCTAATTACCTCTTGAGCGCTGTAATGCGTTACATAACCCCCTTGGTGTTTCGTCATGTGTGTGTCCCTCTTGACAGCGCTCTCTTGACACGCTCTGGCGGCGGCGAGGGCAGGGGCTTGACAGGTTCATTTGGACGGGCGTGAGAGTGCGGGCGCGTGAAGTGGTGCGTGGCTTCTTCGAGTGGCTTAGGGAGACGAGGTGTTTTCTGGCGGGTGGGTTCTCGGGATCTCTTTTTTAACTGTTTCTCATCTTTATTCCTCTTTCTTTTCTTCGTCCTCTTCTCTCTCGTCATCTTTCTCTTTCTCTTATTCGTCATCTTTCTTTCTCTTATTCGTCATCTTTCTCTTCGTCCTCTTTCTCTTTCTCTTTCTCTTCTTCGCCCTCTTTCTCTTTCTCCTCTTTCGCCCTGTTTTTCTCTCTTCATCTTATCTCCTAATTTACTTTTTCTGAGAAGGTATTTATGTCAAAGTGTCTGATACTTCGGAATTTATGACGAAAGGAGACTTTATTGACAATTCAGGATTAGCTATCCAACTTGCCTTGAATGTCGAGTTGCAGAGAGAGAGAGAAAAAGGATAATTAGAGAAGTTTTCATCCAGATTTCCTCATCCAGTTTATGAGAGAAGAAATAAAGGTTGAAGTAGAGTTGATCGTGGTGATATAGTTGTTTATTTATTTATTCGTGTATTTATTCATTTATTGATTATTGTTGATTTTTATTTTTATTTATTTTTATATTTTTTTTAGCTAATGGAGTCCTAATTATTATTTTTTTATTATTTTATTTTATTTATTTATTCATTTATTAGCAAATGGAGGCCTGATTTATTTATTTTTTATTTTGATTTTATTATTTTTAGCAAATGCAGACCTAAATAATTGACGTATTTCGCGAGGGCGTCGAGGGAGGAAGCGTGTGCCGCGGGTGCCCTGACCTTGGGCGCCCGTTTCTTGTGTGGTCCGAACGAGGCACCTTGGCGTTCCTCGGGGGCGTGGGGGCGGGGGGAGGGGGGGGCTTCTGGTATATTTTTGGGGGGGCACGTGAAGGGCGGCGGAGGGGGGGGGGCCAGGTCGAAGGGCTTTCTTGGGGAGGTTTTGAGGGGCTTTTCCTTTTTTTTTTTTTTTTTGAAGTCTTGGGTGGGTTATTGATGGGTTGGAGTGTTTATGTTTTGGGGGGGGGGGGGAGGGAGAGGGAGAGTGAGAGTGAGTGAGTGAGTGAAGACGTGAGTGTGTGTGTGTGTGTGTGTGTGTGTATGTGTGTGTGTGTGTGTGTGTGTGTTGTGTGTGTGTGTGTGTGTGTGTGTGTGTGTGTGTGTGGTGTGTGTGCGTGTGCGTGTGCGTGTGCGTGTGCGTGTGCGTGTTGCGTGTGCGTGTGTGTGTGTGTGTGTGTGTGTGTGTGTGTGTGTGTGTGTGTGTGTCTGTGTGTGTGTGTGTGTGTGTATGTGTGTGTGTGTGTGTGTGGTGTGTGTGTGTGTGTGTGTGTGTGTGTGTGTGTGGTGTTGTGGTGTCGTGTCGGTGTGCCACGTTCGATTCAATGGGTATATACTTCCTGCATTTTTTTTTTTTTTTTTTTTTTTTTTTTTTTTTTTTTTTTTTCAAAGCGATTTGCCGTATTTAGGTACTCTGGATAATTAGTGGATGTGTTTCTCCTCTTTTTGTCGTTACAGTTCCGCCAATTTTGGAAAATTTGAAAGTTGTCGGGACGGACCGAGTTCTCGAAGGAGGAAATAGTGCTGGGGGAGGTCAGCGTCTTTCGGGGGGGGGGGGAGAGGGAGAGGGAGGGAGGGGAGGAGAGGGAGGAAAAAAATAAAAAAGAAGATGAAAAAGAAGAAAAAGAAGATGATGAAAAAGATGGAAAAGAAGAAAAAAAAAAGACGACGACGAAGAAGAAAGAAAGAAGAAAAATAAAAAACAACGAAGAAGAGCAAGAGAAGGATGAGGAGGGAAGGGGGAGGGGAAGAGGAGGTTGACGATTGTTGTCAACCGAGATGGCGACAAGAATCTGGACGGGGAGACGGAGGAGGGAGGGGGGTCAAGGTCGTGTTTTTATAGGTCATCTCACGAGGAGATTTGGGTTCTTACGGTGGAACAATGGAGGGAAGGAGGAGGGAGGAGGGAAGGAGGGAAGGGAGGGAGGAAGGGGGAAGGGAAGGAGGGAGGGAAGGAGGAGGGAGGGAGGGAAGGAGGAGTGAGGAGAGGGAAGAGGAAGGAGTCGCTGCCTTCTTTTTTCTCTCGTTCATTGTCGTTTGTTTATAATCTTTTCGATCAACGGGACGGGGCGAAGAGCTGCTGGTCCTGCGGTGGCGAAGAGCTGCTGTGAAGCTGTATCGAAAGGAGGTCTCTGCGCAAGCCGGTTTTGGATTTCGTTGCGTGATTAGGCAAGGCTCTCTCTCTCTCTCTCTCTTCTCGCTCTTCTATCTCTTCTCTCTCTTTCTATCTCTTCTTCTCTCTCTTTTATTCACTTCTCTCTCTCTTTTTATCTCTCTTCTCTCTCTCTCTCTGTCTCTGTCTCTGTCTTTCTCTCTGTCTGTATCTCTCTCTCTGTCTGTCTGTCTGTCTCTCTCTGTCTGTCTGTCTCTGTCTGTCTGTCTGTCTGTCATTCTCTCTCTCTGTCATTCTCTCTCTCTCTCTCTCTCTCTCTCTCCTCTCTCTCCTCTCTCTCCTCTCTCTCTCTCTCTCTCTCTCTCTCTCTCTCTCTCTCTCTCTCTCTCTCTCTCTCTCTCTCTCTCTCTCTTCTCTCTCTCTCTGTATTTCAAATTTTCAAAATGATATTATGTAAAAGCAATTAAATTCATTCCATATGGTGTCTGATCCTCAATGAAAATACAATCATTATTGTTATTATTATTATTATTATTATTATTATTATTATTATTATTATTATTATTATTATTATTATTATTATTATTATTGTTGTTGTTGTTATTATTTATTGTTGTTGTTATTATTATTATTATTATTATTATTATTATTATTATTATTATTATTATTATTATTATTATTATTATTATTATTATTATTATTATTATTATTATTATTATTATTATTGTTGTTGTTGTTATGTACAGCTTGACATCTAAAGCATGGAGAGGCAAGTGATGTCACGATTGGGGCTTCCGACGTCTGCATGGAAGTCTCACGCCGGTCGACCAAGCGTGTGATGAAAGAAGGGAGGGAAGGAGAAGTGGATTTTTTTTTTTTCTTTTTTTTTCCTTTTTTTTGGATTTTTTTCCCCTTTTTTTAGAAGTGGATTAAAAAAATCCTTTGAGGCTCCTATTGAGATTGTGGGAAAAGGGCGGATGAGGGAAGTGTGGGAGAAATGTTAAATTAGAATTTTTGATTAAGACCAGGTTGGGATTTGATAGGACTTTGATAGGAAGAGAGAGAGAGAGAGAGAGAGAGAGAGAAGAGAGAGAGAGAGAGAGAGAGAGAGAGAGAGAGAGAGAGAGAGAGAGAGAGAGAGAGAGAGAGAGAGAGAGAGAGAGAGAGAGAGAGAGAGAGAGAGAGAGAGAGAGAGAGAGAGAGAGAGAGAGAGAGAGAGAGAGAGAGAGAGAGAGAAAGAGAGAAAGAGAGAGGAAAAGAGAGAAAGAGAGAAATAGATAGATAGAGAGATAGAAAGATAGATAGATAGATAGAGAGAAATAGATAGATAGAGAAAATAGATAGTAGAGAAAATAGAGAGAGAAATAGAGAGAGAGAAATAGAGAGAGAATAGAGAGAGAAAAGAGAGAGAGAGAGATAGAGAGAGAAATAGAGAGAGAAATAGAGAGAGAAATAGAGAGAGAAATAGAGAGAGAAATAGAGAGAGAGAGAGAGAGAGAAATAGAGAGAGAGAGAGAGAGAGAGAGAGAGAGAGGAGAGAAATAGAGAGAGAGAGAAATAGAGAGAAGAGAGAGAGAGAGAGAGAGAGAGAGAGAGAGAGAGAGAGAGAGAAGAGAGAGAGAGAGAGAGAGAGAGAGAGAGGAGAGAGAGAGAGAAGAAGAGAGAGAGAAGAGAGGAGAGAGAAGAGAGAAGAAAGAGAGAGAGAGAGATAGGAGAGAATAGAGAGAGAAATAGAGAGAGAAATAGAGAGAGAAATAGAGAGAGAAATAGGAGAGAGAAATAGAGAGAGAAATAGAGAGAGAAAATAGAGAGAGAAATAG